CTCATCTCTGCGGCCATGATTTCACCAATACCACTTGAGGGGGGTTAGTGTTGGTGCAGTGGGCGAATGGTGACACACACAACACGCACGGTCTGGGACCGAGTCTCTTGTCAGCTCCCGCCAGTGGCACATTTCCAGTCCCAAGTCCGACCTTCCAACTGGGCTAGTTGGTGCCATATATTTCCGTGAGGACCTACACTCTGAACTGTACTTCTGCCCCCTCCTTTCTTGTCATTGACTTGGTCAAATCGCATCCAAAATGTCAAAACCCAGTGAAAGTAGAAAAGATGGCGCATTCTAGGAGGTACAGATTGACTTTCAAGGTTTTACTCTGAGCCTTCTGATGTATGTACTTCTCGACGATTCACCTGTCCCTCGATCTGTTTTCTCCTCCTTCCAGATAGTCGCCGCTGCCTTAATCGTGTTGCTGGCCGATATGGGAACCACTACAATCAATTATTTTTTAGCCGATTGAACATTTGCGGAAGGTGCCGGTGGAAGCCTTGACCTGACCGCAATTCCTATCTGTTGTGCAAATTTCTCACCGTAATTCGTTCCAGTCGGCCGGCAACGTCAGCGAAGATAAAAACCACTTCGGATTTGGAATCAGCGATTCTCGGCGATTAATCAATATTCAGACATTTTCAGGATGGGTGACCTCTGTACGGGATAAGAAAGAAAAAAGTTTTACCAAAACATCTCAGTAACACTTATACATAAAAATATATCGTATACAAGCTTGACTATGAGCGCAAAGTTGGGCACTTTGCTTCTGACAGTGATGATATTGAGAGAGCAGATGGGTGTCGACGGGGTTACGTCCGTGGACCCCGACGACTGTCACAGACGACGGTGACGAGATATGGGCGGCGGAGGCGACGACGATTGCCGTTGATGGTCGGCCAAAGATGGTCTTCAAATTGGCATACGTAGTAAGCGAAAACTGTTAACAGGATGGTATCTACAGATGAGCTCATGGAGACTAAGTGAAATATGAACGGCTAGGGTGATTCGTATATCCCCGTGATGAAATTAGATGCCGGTCTGAATGGTTTTCTGGGTGTGCGTGGCACGTTCTTCGCCTTCTTTGTTGTAGAGTGAGGTGACGACATTGGCTCCAATACCCCACGTGTTCTCGCCGTCGAATACCAACGATTCGGGTGGGTTGTTGATACCTCCTTGATCGCGAGCGTAGATCTGAAACAAGAGCAGGGCCATGTTAGCGTGAATAGGTCGCTAATGAATTCGTGCTAACCAACCTTCATCGTCTTTCCAGCCTTCAATACAGTGTTGGGAGGGATAGTGAAAACGATCTCACGTCCTTTGTCCAGTTTCCTCTTCAACTTGTGCTCACCAAGATTCTCGTCCTAAAACAGGATCCCGTTATAGAAAAAGCTCACATAGATGAGGCTACTCATTTGTCAATAATGACAGTAAGAATGCGATGCGCTTAAAATGGGCGGAGTGATGTCAGTGGTGGGCGGGGTTTCCGCACTTTAGTTCTAGGGCCCAAACGCTTCTGCGAGCATCATTTCACAGCTATCCTTTTACGTGAGAACTTTTCTTTCTTGAGCTCGTTTCCCAAAAGGATAATATTTTATGAAGCTTCTGCCCTCACAATAGCATTGACTGAGAGGGCGCTCAATAGTTGTGGGTTATGACTCACAGGAACAGAAGCGTGGGTGCTTATCAGTCCAGTGGGGGTGTACCCAAAAAGCGCGGATATGTTGCGATTGAGAACGCTTAATACTTGAACTGACGCATCAACGTCACTAATCCGACGCATATTCTGCGCCGGACAGCTCATCAGGAAGGAAATTTCAGATGGTCAATCGAGAAGTAAGAGGACAAATGGTCCGGACGAGTTGCACTGTGCAGAAGTTATCGTAGTCGGGAAGCTAGAATCACACCACAGTCACAATCGTTTCACGATCATCTGTCGTTCAGCAATAATTAGGAAACTAGGTCTGACGAAAAGCTCCTCCATAGTTCGACAAAATTTAATATGCTTTCACTAAAGGCAGTGCCTTATTTTGACTATGAAGGAAATACGCCTGGTAGAAAAGGTACCGGCCCTGAACAGGCGCTGCATGGCTCGTTTCGCAATGAGGGGTGCGCAAAAAGCGACTTAACAGGACCTAATTGTGTAAACGCTCCTCCCCAAACAACCCCACACGGACAAGTGACCGCACCAGCGTGGTATCGCTCAGGATTGAACAAGCGTTTCAATAGCCCACTGTCTTTGAACTAAAAGAAAGAAAACAAAGAAGAAGAAGGAAAGAGAAGAAAAAACTATAGCGTTCTCAGCCGTATTTCGAGCGCGGCCACTCAAGTTTTAGCTTTTGAACCTAGCCCAACATTGAAAATCTAGAGAAGCGCATCAATTTCTTGTTACCTTTGCAAAGAAAATAAGCTAACAATAAACTACCTTTGTTCTGTGGGTGTTTTCGAGGGTGATGAACTTGCCGTTAGGGTCACATTCAGCAATGGTGACATTTCCCTGAAATCATGTTCTTCACATACTTGCAATAAACTTGGAAGAGGCACCTTAAACATTCCTGGGCACGAGACAGAACTCACAGGTGGCTGAATAGAGCGAGCGTTTTGATTGCGAACAGCGCGAATTTAAACAAAGATTTTGGTCCCTTTGGAGTTTTTGCATTTAAAAGCTGCAGCTTGGCTTGGAAAGTAAAAGACACGGCGCCAATCCAGAGAAGGTTCATCCTGATTGGGCAGGAGTAACGCGCTTTCAAGCAACGGGCGAAAAAGTGTGTTTCAAGGCCCTATCGAATACCGCTGTAGGTGCCCCTGCGTGATGTACATGTCCCTGTTTATTATGCCATCGATCCATGCCTAATTCGCCGGTCAAATACCGCTATGGGGGGGTGGAACAACAGATGAGATCATTAAGATGTGTTTAGACCTTCCCTAAAAAAGGTAGTTTAGTTCGCAAGCGCCGAGGTTGCACCAGCTCAAAAATACGTGATGAGGACGGCAAAAGGGCTTGTGGGCCAGAGTGATGCCCGCGCCCACTCCCCACGCCCCGGCGCAATTGCTGGTTAGTGCGTTTTCCAATTGGTGAGAAGGTGTTGATAAGGAAAAGCTGATTTAGCCATAAGTGAGAACCCATCCAAGTACGCACTCTCTTCGCCTTGTGCTCATGCGAGCTCAGATTGGCAAGAGGACCCACCTATACTATTTGAGGGAGGGTTCTTTCTGCTTTTCACTACTGGGCCACCTACCACCTTGTCATTCGTTGTTGGCCTCCGCTATCCACGATTTTTGATCGAGGGACGTGCCTGGAAGGCTGCTGCTAGATCGCTTTTTGGCGTCTGCGGCTGCCGTTCTATGGGCTTTAGAAAGGAAAGTTCAAATTTTCTCCCTTTTTTCCCCTAGCCCAGGACAATCCCTTCCGCCGCCCACCCACATTGTATGCAGTCCCTTCTCATCAGCAATAAATTCGTTCCTCGTAAAACTTGTCACTACGAGGCCAAAGGTAAAACCCGAAAAACCACACAAACCTATTTCGTCATTAATGGGTGCTAATGGGTGCTAAATTAGCTAGTGACTGTGACCAAATCAAGGTCAGTTCATTGACTTACCTTAGCAGAACGTTGGAATGTGGTCTTGGTGGAAACCTCGCCACGTACGGAACGTGTCGAGTCGGTGTCTTCTTGTTGTTGCAACGAGTGCGTTTTCACAACCTGTTCGACCATTTGACGTAGACCAACACTGAAATGGTGACCTTTTAGGAAAACAGTCAGCATATTATGGCAGGAAATATTCAAAACGACCCTCAAACGATCAAAAATGGCCTAAAAATGGCAAGTGGTTTCGAAAAAACCGAGGGGTCACAGAAGGAAGGGTTTTCGCTTGTTCAAACAGGGTTTTAGCTTTTTTAGAAAAGTATGCTCCGCTAGTGATAAGTAGTAGCTGCCCGGAATTGTTCAATGGAAACTGAAACTCTTTTGAAAATGCGGCGAAAAACTGGCAGCCTTGGTCAATTTAGATTTATAGTTCTATTTTCTCAATTCTATAATTTTTTTGAATATTTTCTGATTCGAAACCTCTGCGAAACTTGAGCTAATTCTGACGAACGATAGTCATGTAAGCGTTACCACCGGCTCTCTTCTCCCTCCAGCATCTTCCTGTAGATAGCGATTTCGGCGTCGAGCATCTGCTTGGTATCCAACAAGGCTTGTAATTCGGCAACCTGAATACATCCAGTCTTACTTGAGCGAAAGAGAACTGGTTATGTGAATTACTCACCAAAGTCTGGCATTCCTCACGCATTCGGCGAAGAGTAGCATCACGATCGTTAAGAGCCATTTCGTATTGTCGTTGATCATCGCTAAGCTGAAACATGACTATTAGGACGGATTCTGAAGGATCACAGGTGCGTTAAACCAACCCGAAAGATTGTTTGGTTTCTCAAAAGGGGACTAGAAGATTTGAGAGTTGATTGTACACTAAATGGGGAAATTTCGGGATTTCATGTTCAAAAGAGGGCC